CTGATTTTCCATAAAAGTTATACATTATAAAACTTAATATTTTTATGGAATTTTTATATCAAATTTTTTATTGGGATATAAACTATGATTTTTTCTACTGAATTCATCATTAATTATTAATATTATTTTATTTAAGTCTTACAATTCTTATAATTTATTATTAACTTTGTTTAATTGCTATTGCAATTCTTTGACTTATTTATTTAATCTCATATTTTCTGTCATTAAATTTGATAAATTAAATATAAATTCAAAATATAATTAAGAAAAAATTAATGAAAATAATCATTATCTTCTTCTAACAAATAAACTTCAATTTCAGTTCAGTTTTAATTTAATAATGTCTTTAACAAACAAATCTTTAGAATTTTTATTTGAAGATTAGCAAGTGATAGTATATCTGATTACTATAAAAGCTATTTTGATAATGATTGTGAAGGTAATTGTAATGATGATTGTGAGACTGAATGTTGTGATAAAATATTCAATGATACTTATAAAGCTGAATATTATAATAGTAGTAGTAATTATTATTATAATCGATTTAATGATAATATAATTCTTTATAAAGATAGAGTAGCAGTAGTTTTTTGTGATCTTAATTCATCTTTGATATCAGAAGGTATTACAAAATTAAAAGGGTCTATATCAAATTTACTTTTCTTATTTTTGAGCATTTTTTTAGAAAGCTTTAATATAAATATATTTTAAAAACTTAGCTAAAAATTAGTTTTTTATCATTATTAAAATTTGTAAGAAGTATATGATAAGATAAAAAGATTTATTTTTATTTTTATTTTTTTTTGTAAGAAAGTTTTCTTTTTCTTGTACGAAATGATAAAATTGTATTTATACAGAAGAAACTTTAAAGAAGTGGGTCCTTTTTATAGTTATAATTTGTCTATTAAAACTTCTTAAAAGCTTTGTATTAGAAACGATTTATAATACTAATTTAATATTGAGTTTAATTGATCTTATAAAAAGTTTAATTAATTGTTTTCAAAAGTTAATAATTAGTATGATATTTAGTTGATACTTAAAAAAACTTTACAAAATTGATTAAACTCTACATAAAGTTTATTAATTAGTATAATATTTAATTGATACTTAAAAAAAGCTTGATAGAAATTATGTAAAAATTCAAAATTGAATGAAATTTTATTATTACAATTTATTGATTATTTAATATTGATAAAATAGTATAAAAAAGATCATTATACTTAAAAAAACCTTAATAACTAGAGTTATTATTTGACTAATTATTCAACTAAAAAATTATAAAGAATTCTATTTTTATAGTAATTGTAAAGAAATATTGGTTAAGCCTTATACAAAAGTATGATATAAATTATTAGAGAAAATTTTGATGCTAAAAGTAATTAAAGAAAATCTTAGAACTTAGATAAATATCAATATCACTGAATCTTATCAAGTTTTGAAAAGTTCTAAACTCAGATAAATGTTGATATCACTAGATTTTTTCAATCAAATATTTTAAACAAATAAGAAGTTGATGAAGTTTAGCAAGAGTATGCATCTTAAAAATATAAATCAAGATATTTTTTGATCAGAGATAACTTCAAATAAGAGTTAATAATAAGGAAGAATATAACTAAAGAGGATTAGGGCTATGACTCTTCTAATAAAGATGACAATGTAAATGAAGATGAATTAACAAATAATATTTTAAAACTTTTTAAAACTACTTATATCTCTCTTTTAAAATATTCTAAAAACTAAATGTTAATTTATCCAACCAAGTTTTATAAATTATATTATAGTTAATGAAATTTTAAATTAGATTCAATATTCTAAAAACAGCAATTGAATTACAAATAAAATTTATGAAATTGGTATTAAAAGAAATTAGTGATATTACTTTTAACAATTTTCCTAGTACTTTATATTTAGCAAAAAATGCTTTTAAATTAGAAGATAGATTTTATAGTTTTGTAATATATACAAAATATCACAAACTATATAATAAACAAGAAGTGAAAGATTTTTATTAAGGTAGTACTCTTACCATTATAAAGTGACAATATGTTAAATTTTCTAATTCACTAAACATCGAATGTGTTAGAATCTTTTATTTTATTACAATGATAAGTTTTAGACATATTTTTAGATTTTAATAGTTTTAGATAAGATTTTAGACTTAAGAAAAAATATCTAAAACCTGTCTAAAACCTATCCAAAATTATCTAATTACCTAATACTATCTTATCAGATAATATTATTAAATAAAATTTCAAATTAAATCAAACTAATTTATCTATTTTTTTTAATTTGTCAACAGTTAACAACTTTATATTTTTAATCTGATTTTAAGAATATTAGGCTAATCAGTCAGATTTTGATGATATATTAATTAATATATATGATAGTTAAGCGTAAAAACATTTAAAGAAATGTCTGACCAGAATTCTAATTTTTTTCAGCCAAAAGTTACTAATTTGAATCTCAGTTTAATATAGAACTAGAATTGATTTTAGTCTTACAAAAGAACAAATTATAGCACAGGCATAATATATATTATCATATGTAATTCAATATTGACAAAATTTAAGATCATTTCCCTTTTTTTAATGTGACCTAAGTCACTTTGTATATGATCACGTAATAGATTTCATAGTAAAATCATCACATGATTAGGTCATTTTAAGGTTATTTCAAAGCTATTTGCTAAAACTAATGTAATTTGTTCAGAATATGTATTTTAAATGAGAAAATTTATTAATTTTAATATATTACTAAAGTAAGCTTATACAAATCAACTATTATTTAGCTTTAATTATTAATAAATTGAAGTTATTTTAGACTAGAGTGAAACTCAATAAAACATTTGAGTATTAAAATGAAAAGAATGTTCATGTAGCTTTAATACTTATTTTGTATAATATTCTTACAGTAAAAAAATATGTGATTATATTTCAGTGCTAGTTTTATGCTACTAATGTAAAAAATGAGCAAAAAATGAAAATAATTAATACAATTTGCTAAAATAGATAATATGAGTGAATGGTTTATCACTCGTAATTTAGCTGAACATTACATGAATGCATTTGGTTAGTAATATTTCAATTCTAATACTTTACAAAAATGATTTATAAAAATTATTAGAATAAGGTGATCCAAATTATTATAATTACCATACTTTGATCCTATTAAGTTTATTACTATCAATCCTATATATTATTTTTTTCTAGGTATTGCAAAGTGAATAATAAAAAGACTTTAGATTGATAAAGAAATATTAAATTAAGCAACCCTTAAAATAATTCAAAAGAAGATAGATGAATTTCAAGTTCCATCTGATTTGACTGAATTCCTGAAAAAATTGATAATAATGAAGGATTTTTAAACTTTACTATAAACCAATAACATATTTTTTTTTAATATATAGTATACTTTAGAATCACTTATCTGAACATGATCAAAACATTCTTTACTATTTTGTGAGAGTTTGCAAATTTTTATAAATCATATTTTAGAAATTAATGCAATAAGAAAATTGTATTAGAGATTGATTAAAATTGTAAAGTTAATTAAAATGCATAATGAACAAGATAAAATTACTTTAAATTTTCATCTTTTATTTTATTTAAGATTATACATATAATTTTAAATTATTATATGTATTCTGATACTTTAGCTTTAAAAGTATGAATGGCATATTAGGTAAATTATTTTTTTTCACTTTTTTTTAACTATTCTTATTTTTAACTAATGCATAATTAGAATTTAACATTTTAGGCTTTCTACCAAATAGTCATAGAAAAATAGAACCAGAGATTATATGTCGAATAATAGCTAATATTTAAATTAATAGCATTATAAATTCTGGTTAAAAAATAAAAGGTCTGGAATTACTCAATAAATGACTTTCAATTAGATTCTTGTTAAAGTTAACAAATTTTTTCTAATGAAATTGAGCAATTTTGATTGAATTTTTAGAATATTTAACAATCTTCAATTAATGGAAGTGAACTGTTTTTAACAAAATAATAAGATTTACCTCTAAAAATATAGTGATATAAGATTTAATGCTCAATTTGTTAATTGAATACTATATAAGACTTTTGCAATAGAAAAGAAATAGCTGAAAAAAATAAAAAATGAGTTAGTTCTAAATCTGAATATATTTTGACCTAAAAATCATATTTAGCATATAAAAGTAAAATTGATTTTTTCCAGCAGTTTTCTCTTTTTTATTGCAAAGGTTCCATATGATGACATAGAGTTTTGAAAACTATTTAGAAAAGGTTATAAGAATTTAATAGTAATTTTTGTTAAAATGAATTAGTTTGGTAGATGTAAAATTAGTTCTAAAAATTTAAATCAAATATATCAGCTTGTCATATAAAGTTGTTAGACAAAACCTAGAAATTTTGCAAGTTATCTAAATGGAAAAAAGTAAAATTTAGTAAAATTTTATTAAAATTTTATTAAAAATCTGTAAAATTCTAAAAAAGGTAAAATTATATCAAAGCTTATAAAAATACAAGACTATATTAAAATTTTAGTAAAAAATTAATAAAATTATAGTTTAGATATTTTGTAAAATCTAAAATAAGTTTAGATAAGCAACCTTATCGTCATGTAAAAAACTCATATATTTTGACAAAATTTATAACACAAGATGACATTGATTACTATTTTAGAAAATTAAATACTTTTTTATTTATAAGGTTAGTCTATTGAATGGAGAATTTAAGTTTAATTTAGCCTTTATTCAGTAATATCAACCTATAGATTCTAGATATTATTTTAGAATTAACAATGATAACACATGTAATATCAAACTTTAGAGTACTGAATATTATCTGAAAAACAAGATTACATTATTTTAATGCATAACATTTTTGATTGATTTATACCAGTTAATGATAAGGGACGAAACCCCTTAATAACAGTCAAAACTTAGACAAAACTATATTAAAATCATAATAAGGGATATGACAAAACCCTTTCGATATAACGAAAGCTGAAACTGTCGAAACTATATTAAAAACATAGAAAAGGGTATGACGAAATTATTTTGAGAAGGTTTCGGCAGGCATCTATAATACCAGTAATATATAAAATTTTAGATTGAAAAAATACGAAAAAATATCTGGTAATAAATTCTGTTAATAAAAACTTAACATTTGTTAACTTAGTAATAAGATTTGTAAAGTTTTATTTTATTATTTTAATATAAAATTAGACATAAAGTATATATTATTAATCATTTCTAAATTAAATATATTTATTGCTTTTACTAAATTATATTGAATTTTGGCTAACCTTTGGTAAAAAACTTTAAAATCAACCAAAAGTCACATAACTGAAAGTTCTTATTTTGATTAGTTTAAGATTTATAGATTAAAAAGATTAAGATTGTAATATGAGATATTTATTATTATTTATCATTTTTTACCATCTCTTTTTATAATAGTTTTAGTAACTAAATATAGACTTAAAAATTCAGAACATAAAAGAATTTTTATGTTGATGGGTAAAAATTGTTTTGTGAATTTTGTTAAAATGTTTTAGACTATAAAAAAAATCCACATTAAATATATATTTAAAATCAGACAAATATAAAACAATTGTATGCAAAGTTAAAAATAAAATAAGAGCTTATTAAAGCACTTCAATACTAATAATAATAAGTTAAATAAATATAAAATCTTTATTTAATACTACTTTAGTAAAAGTATTAGATAAGTAGATATATCACTTAAAAAAGTAGATAAACTTAAACATATTTTTTTTGGAATTTTATAAAAATGATATCACTTGAAAAATTAAACATATTTTTTTTGGAATTTTGTAAAAATGATATGTAAATTTATTTTATTTTTAATTTATTATTTAATATATTATTAAATCACTAATTATATTTTAAGTGGAACTATTGTAGGCTCTTTTTTATTATGAGAAAAATATTTGACAATTGTTTTTAATATGAAGGTTTCTATCATGTAAGAAATAATATATAATAGGTGTATATTCATTATTATTAATGAAACAACAGATGTTTGTAATCAGTTAACTATTAATATATTTTTTAGTTTTAGTAATTAAACTAAATTAGTTAAATCAGAATTTTAGATGATACTATTAATAGTACTATTATTGCTTAATTAGTTATATTTCTCATAATAATCTTTTTTTTTTATTTTTGATAATACAGCATATATAATAAAAATCTTTTAAATATTATCTCCATTAATTCTCAAATTAAAGCATAATTATTATTTAGTTCATATTTTAAACTTAGTTAGAAAAATATAGATTAGTTATAAGAGTTTCAAATTTCTAATTAAAATTGTAACAAATATAAAAAAATTCTTTATTTATTATTCTATTTGTAAAAGAAGATAGACTTTTTTTAAATTCCTTTATTTCTTCTATTACAATTCCTTCTAATTAAAATTTAATTATATTATTACCTTTACCTGTAAAATCCATTAAAATTCATGATTTAAGTTTATTTTTTAGATTAACTAATATATACTATAATTACACTAGGTAGAAATAAGTTTACGTAATTTTTAAAAAATCATTTATTATTATTTTTTTTAGAAAAATATTAATATCTAGTTGGCCAACCATTATTAGTGATATATGCTTCTATTTTTTAAGGTATACTATCAATTAATTTTAAGTAAGTTTCTTGTAAAATTTTTTTTCATTCTTCTTTAAGTTGTATTTCTAAATCTGCAAAATTTTTAGGAAGATCTGAACAGTTACACAACAAATGATCAAGATGATCTCAAAAATGTTTAATAGGATTCAAATCTGAAGATTGAGCAGGTCAATCAGTTAATATTTTAATTTTTTTTTCAGCAATCCATGTTTTAACATCTTTAGCTGTGTGAATGAATGCATTATTATGCTAAAATTTGTAAGATCGATTGCGAAACTTTAAAATACAAATGGCAAAAAGTTATCATTTAAAATTTTTATATAATCATGATGATTAATTGTTCCTTCTATTCTTGCCAAAGGACTCAATCCTTTGCTGAAAACCATTCCCAAATCATGATTTCACTACCACTATGTTTAATAGATGGATTTAGGTTTTCGATATCAAAATAGGTATCTGGTTTATGCTAAACCTGATAAGGATCATTATTACGAAAAAAAGTAAACTTTAATTCATCACTTCATATGATGTTTCTCTATTGTTGTACTGTCTAATTTTGTCTTTTCAAGTACTATTCTAGTCATTTTTGACATTGATTTTCATTCAAAAGTGGTTTTTTTGCAACTCAATATAAGTTATATTTAATTTAATGCAAATTTTTTCAAATTGTTTTAGTACAAACATTTTGGCTAGTTTTTGCTATAAATTTTTTTGTATCATATCAGCTGAAACTTTATTGTTTTTATTAACAATTTTTTTTAAAATTTTACGATCATTATTATCAAGTAATAGAGGCTGATCACTTCTTTCTTTGCTTGTCAAATCATCTGAATTTTTATATTGTTTAATTGTTGTCCTAACTGTAGAATCTGATCAATTCATAATTTTGCAAATATCAGCATTTCTATGTCTGGCCTTATATAATTTGATTATTTGTGCTCATTCAATAATGCTAAGTTCAATATTTATGCTTATTATATTATTAATAAGCTAATTTTTGTGATCAGCTTTTTAGTTGATTGCAAATTTACGTTAAAGATCACAATACATATATGTATACGTTCTGATTTAAATTATTTTTATTTTATACGTGTAATAATAATAAATGGACATGTAAATAAGTAGCAGAGCCTTTAATTGGTATTAAAATTAATTGATTTTATTATATGATTTCATATAAATTACGAAAAACTGATCTCGCAAACTTATTTTCACTTAGTGTATGTAAATTTTATATTAAAGAAGAAATCATTAATAAGAAAAGTAAAGCTGTTTAAAAATTAGCAACAATTTTTAAAAATTCAGTATATATTTTTACATTTGAAACTTTAATTATGTTTATTTCATTTAATGCAAAATAATAAGTTAATTTTTATTCTTTATTTATATAAAGAAAAAATATACAAATTTAATTTATATAGTATTGTAAATGATCTTAAATTTTTTAGAATTAGAAATAAATCTATTGCTTTTTTTGTGGTTCAATGTTTAACATATCTTAAGGTTATATTATAATTTGATAGTATTCAATCTCTTTTTAGTAATAAGATATATACCAAATTTTTGAAAAAAAAAGTTAATTCAATAATGTTTATTATAATGTTTTAAGAAGCTTATCAATTAGCTTTTAATAAATTAAAAAAATATATTAACAATCATTTAATATTACCTTTATTTAAAGTAATTTAACACTTTTATCTACATTATATTTATGCTTAAAAACATTATTATCCCTTAGATTGTCTAGCAGACAAATCTGTGCTATATCAATTTATTATTAAGCATATCTGAATAATATTATACAAATAATTATTTTAAAAATTAAAAATTATAAAAATATTAATAATTATTAATTTAAAAATTTTAAAATACTATTATTAAATATATTTTAATATAATAAATTTAATAAATTTTATTTTATTTTTATGATAATTAGATATAAATAATTATTTTAAATTCATTTTGAATATAATATAACTGTGATCAGTTAAGTGAATCAATAAAAAAAAATTTTATCAAAATTTAGATTTTTTCTTTTATATTGACTGCTACTTATATATTTATTTAAACAAATTTTAATTTTTTATAAAAATAAATTAATTTATATACCTAAATAACATTATAATAATTAATATAATTTATAAAAATTTTATGATTTAATAGTAGACATATGATTTAATTAATATATAAATATGAATTTTAAAGAAATTTTATTAAAAATTAATTTAAAATAAAATTATTTTAAATAATTTTTTAATAAATATAAAATATTTTTTAAATAAATTAATAAAAAATATATTAAACTTATATAATAATTATATTACTTTTTTATATTTTATTAAGAATTATTACCTTAGTATTATATTTATATTATTTAACAAATTTTAATGAAGTAATAAATATAAAATAAAATTTTAATAAACTTTAATATATTTTTTTTAATATTTTAGTTTAAAATAAAGTAAAGAACTATATGTCTATACAAAGTATTTTAATTAAATTGATGCTGGTTAATTTTTATAATTATATAAAATTTTTAATAAATTAAATACTAATGTGAATTTTATATTAACATATATAATAAGTGAATAATATGTGAATTATTTTGGTTACTAAATCTTTGGTAAATATTTTTTAGTTAAGATCATTTTAAACTTTACAATGTTTTTATTTTCTAATAATATATAAAATTTTTTATAAAAATCTATTAAAAAAATATTAATTTTATTTTATATGGTGCAGAAAGTCTATACTCAACAATATAAATATAATACTTAAAAATCTTTTATCTCTTTAAAAAATAAATTTAGAAAAAAATAAACTGGTAATTTTATTTTTTAAGATAAGCTCTATTAAATTACCAGTCAGTTTTTTAAAATAAGTTCTATATAAAAAGTTATAGCCATTTAAAATTGGATAATTTTCATATGATCTTTCTGAATTTGAAACATATATTATTGATTGAAATTTATGATAATTCGAGCTGGCATTATGGTAATTAATCATAATGTCAGCTCAAATTATTGTAATTTTAAAATAATACACAAAAAAAAAGATTAATATCTTATATTTCATTGGTCAATTACTAATCACGTGATATAAAATCCACAAAAAATTTTGAAACATTATTGAGTTAAGACTTCTAGCACCATATTTCAAATATAATTTTTTAGGTTAAAATATAATTTAACATTAATTTATTTTTTATTATTTTTTTTTTAGCAATTTTTTTTCTATAACGATTTTATATTATTTGTATTAATTATATATTAAAAATATTTAACATTTAGTAATTCAAATTAACTTAAATTTAAATATAATATTTATTTATTATATATTAAAATTTTGTTTAATTTGAATGATTAAAAATATTAGAAAATAAATTTAATAGTGTTAATTGAAATCTCTTAATTAGAATTATTTATATATTACTATTACATATCTTAATAATTATTTTGCTGTAAACTGAATATGATATTAAAGATGATGTTTAAAAAACACTTAATTGGGATCTGTAATATGATCAAATCAAATGATTATTCATAACTACTATTATGATGATATTAGATTCTCTGCTTTTTAATTTAACCATAAAGGTAGTTAATGTTACACTATAAGCTTATATCATATTCTGATTTTCTTACATAAGAATATTCATTAAAATCAGCTATATTAGAGCATTATTTATGTTAAAAAGAAAGCCGGATTGAAAATTATTATTAGGAATTCATAGAATAAGCAAATTTGTTGACAAAAACATTTTTAATCTTCGGAATAAAGTTCCTTAACAAAGGATAATTACCGGTCACCGGACCAATCTGACCTCATAAATATAAGATCGTAGAGATCGCCTTGGCAGACTTTTTTATGCAAGGTAGTGATCCTCATTTTACGCAGGGACGATTTCCTGTGATTCACAGATTTCATCATTATCTTTTATATCACATGGAATATCACAATAACTACCACGCGAAACATATATGAAATTTTTTTTTTACAGATCATATTTAAACAAAATAAAAATATCTGAAGTCCAATTGTTAAAGAGTAAAAAAAATAGTGTACAATTTTATTCGAAATATTCGAAAAACAATTTAAAAAAATAAAAATAATTATTTAAAAAACATTTTCATTTTTTTTTTTTTTTTTTTTTGAGAATTATATTTATATTTTTTTATAGTAATTTTTTTTTTTGATTGAAATTTACATCAACGAGTAAAAGATGATGTTATGGGTTGTGGGAGAGAAGAAAGAAAAAAATGATTTTAATTTTGAAAATATACTGAAATAAACAAGAATAACTACATGCAAGAGAAGGAACTAGAAGAAAACGTGAATTCAAAACGCTCGCAAACCATTTCTCAATCAATTGAGAGATGGTTACTTGAGCATAAGTTGATATATTTGATAAAAAAGAAAAGAAAAGAAAAAAAGAAATTTACAAGTCAAAAAAGGGAGGGAAAAAAAAAATGCAAGTAATATATTTATAATAAGATAAAGACATACAAAAGTTTTTTTTAAAAGAAAAAAAAAATAATAATTTGCTATACAGCGTATAAATCTTTAAATCTTAAATTCATTTGAAACTTTCATATATATTTTGTATATAAAAAAAACGAAGGAAATATATCGTTAAACTCCAAACTAATGAATAATTTGTAATAATAATAATAATAATAATAATAGAGGAAAAAAAAAAAGAACAAAAAAAAAAAAATCATGAAATAAAAAAAGTAAAATTGTTCATGAAAAATGCTCTGAAAGAAAAAAAAAAAAAAAAAAGAAATATCTAAAGACATTTACATATATATATCTACACCTTGTTCTACTTTTTTTTTTTTTGTTTGTTTTTGTTTTGGTTTTTTTCTTTTTTTGGGGGATAGTTGTTTTTGTTATTGTTATTGTTAATCATACGATTCAACAATCATGTTCTTCGGTCAAAACCTGTTTCAAGATGTCGCACCTTCGCTCCAAAACGCCTAGAAATCCCTCAACTTGTTTTCGCGACATTTTTCCAACTAATGCTTTAAATCGAGAATCATCAAAATCGAATTGTGGAGGCATGTAAGGGACGGTATATGTGGGCTGAGACTGCGGCACCATTGAAACTGGGGAGGTCACGAGCTGTGATTGAGGGATCATCATGGGCATAATGGGACGTTGTCCTGGTAAAAGGGTTTGGATAGTAAGATGTGGTTGTTGAGGAGAAGTTGGGCTCTGAGGATTAGATTCGCATGAACCATCCGAAGAACCATCAAGGCTACCGTTTGGATTCCCATTGGCGGCCCCCCAATCCCGTCGGCGACGTTGAATCTTTGCCTTTCGCATCGCGACAGGACGATCCCTGTTATGCAACTTTGCATATAGTCCACAAGCATTACAAATAGGTTGACCCTTCTCGTTCTTTCGCCATAATGGTGTCTGAGTTTGAGCGCAGTTGACGCAACGAATGGGTGCTTCATTCGCTGTGGGGACGACATTCGAAACAACCTGTTGATGATGTTGGGGTTGGGGTTGAACTTGAGGCTGATGTTGGGGCTGTGGCTGCGGTTGAACAACTTGTTGAACTGAAACCTCACTCGATGTACTCGATGCTGTGTTTTTCCTTGAGGCTGGAAGCGTATAAGGTCCGGCATTAGAACTTGGCTTATTTCTGATATGTAAAGGACGATGGGTATTATATTGTTTGTAGTATAAACCGCATGCGTTGCATAAGGAATGCATTCTGTCGGGAGTTCGACGCCAAAGGGGTGTCTTGTTAACACCGCAATTGTAACATTCAAGATTACGAGGAGGTTTTGAGCTGGTATGTTTCTTTGTCGTCGTTGATTTTGATTTTTGAGGCGATGAAGGTAGAGGATTTACAGCCGAAGGGGAGACAACCGTTGTCGATGTTGATGATGCCGTGTTTGTCTGTTGTTGAATTGGTGAAGGAGGTGCTGTAGAAAAAGGTGAAGTATGAGTCGATGTTGTATTAACAGGAGATGCGTCTGATTCATGACGTGAAGTACCGCCTGAATTGAAAAAAAAACAATATAAAGAAAGGGGAGACAAGAAAAAGAAAAAGAAAAAAAGAAAAGGAAAAACTAAATAAACAAATTACGTTTAACGAGGAATCCTGCAAAGCAGATGGGTTTATTTTATAAATACTTACAGCTTGATGATTGTGATAATTGTTGTTCATTGTCAGGTTGTTCGAGCTTTATATAAGTTTCAAAATCTTCATGTTTAATCTTCCTATTGCGAGGGGAAGAAGTTGAATGACATTGCATGGCCATTGCCAAGGCGCTAGCATCAGCTAAGGGAGGAAAACCGGATTCAGAAAAGAAACCCAAAGAAGAATGTAAAGCGTCATCTAAAAGGATGCTGTCATCAAAAGTACCACTCAACATCTTTGGACTGTCGTTCTCTCCAAAATTTGAGTCTACTGGGGAGTCTAAACAAGGCTTTTCTTCTGTTGGACTACTTAACATCACATCAGAAGATGAAAAGAGAGCTTCATCCATCATAAAAGATTCTTCATCAAGTGGACTCTGGAGTTGTTGCATTACAGGAGCAGTTAAAGAATTGTTTGTAGCTGCTAACCACTGTTGAAAAGTTTTTTCTTCGTTCATTCCGTTCGTAAGCGCAAGAGACGACATGATATCGTTATCTGGCATAGACTCAACGATAGATGAGTTCAACATCTGATAGTTAGGGATATGCACCTGAAAAACCTTGTGATCGGGCGACTCTGGAACTGTTTCGTAGGCGCCTGAAAGATGTGGTGCGAAGAAAAAAGCGCTATTCACCATAATATTATTTGGACCCATTGTTGGTAGATATGGTTGAATTGATGATGCGATTGGATAGTTATGTGGGAAAATAAGTGATTTGATTGTTGAACAAAAAAAGAAAAGGAAATTAGGATGCTTTTTTTAGGCAAATTGCGAAAAAAAATTTTTTTTTTTAAATACACAAATGCTGACTATGAGAGAAAAAAAAAAAAAAAAAAAAAAAAAACTATGTGGCTATGCTAGTTAATGAAATAAAAATTTTAGGATCTACTATTTTGATGCAAATAAATTGTATTGATGTCGTCGCGAAAGCTATTTTTCTTTTCTCGCGATGATTAATAATTGTGGTTGTGGTGTAAAGCAAATTTTTTGTTATAATACAACAAAATATTTGGAAGTGAAATAAAAATTTTTTTTTGACAAATGTTCAATCAACGTCGGTTCCAACGTGTCGTCCGTTGTGCATATAAAAGTAGTTCATTATCAAGTAAATAAAATAATTAAATAATTAAAAGGCTTTTGAGACGAGTCTCTTAAATAATTAAAATGTATATATATATCTCGAGTCTAAGAGGATTTTAAATAAGAACCATAACTGTTCTATTTAATAAGTAGATAAATAAATGTAGCCGCAAAAGAAGTGGTTTTCAAAAAAGGAATTATAAAACTTTTTTTTTTTGGGAGAAAAAAAAAATTTTTTTTCTGGAAAAAATAAATTTATATATATATTTTTCTTTTTCTTTTTTTGAATAAAAAAAAAAAAATAATAAAAACGACGATTTGTTTCTTTTTTTTTTTATATAATTTTTTTTTTTTTTTTTTCGTCTTTAGGAAAAGAAAAAAATAATTGTATTCTAGTAGGTAGTTTCTACTTACTCTTTTGCTAAAGCCGAATTTTTTTTTTTTTTTTTAGTTCCAGGCTGAGGAGGAAGCTTTGAAAGCAGCTTCAAGTACGAACTTATATATCAACTTTTTGTAATACAAAGTCTTTCTGGGTTTCAACGGACTTATTCGGGAACACATACTGTAAACTACTAGTTTGGTAAGACTATCAAAATGATTGAAAGGGGTGGCTTATAATAGGAAATCTTTTTTTCTCTATCGAAAAAAAAACATAATGAATAAATAAAAAAAAAATTAATTTAATAAATTATTCTATCGTGACCAATCAAATTGGATCTCTTTGTGATATAACAAAACAATAGTGAAATTTTTTTTTTTTTTTTTTTTGTGTGATTGTGGGATATTTGAAATAAATGGTGTATATTGAAAAAAAAAAATTTTTTTTTCCACGGAGCAAGGAAGGTGTCATTTGCACATGTTGCATACAGCAAAAAAAAAAAAAAAAAAAAATAATAAAAAAAAAAATAAAAATAAAAAAAATACATGATATTATTGTTAGATAATAAACAGCTTTTTCGTTGTGGGGAAGGAAATCGACCTTGTTTTGTCTATGATTTATGATTCGGATGAAAGTTAATATAAATTATAAATAGCTTATTAAAGTAGAAGGTTAATTTTGGGCTTCTCACGCAATTTGACTCTTTTTGGTTTCGGAAAAAAAAAAATGTTATCGACTGATTCAAGCTAATAATACTCAACTCGCCATTCTCCACTGAACCAAACAAAGAAAAAAATTTTTATATTACTTGAATTCTGAACCATCACAATATAAAAAATTATTAATGTAAAAATTTTTATTGAAAGGATAAAAACAGAGGATTCTCCTTTTATTTAAAACTAGAACATGTTCCAAGGAAAAAAGGAAAATAAACCAGAGAATGCTGCAACACAGAAAAAAGAAAACCTAGACTTTCAATCCAAAGCTTGAATTATTCATAATGGGTTGGTGGCCACACAGACTCGAAATAAATTAAGGTGTGAAAGAAAGGAATGTTACTTAAGCCGCGATAATAGTCATGCAATGCGATTCTTTTGATAAGCCTTTTGCGGAAGGATTTTCGCTGTCATAATCCAATTGATGATATAATTTTTTTTGTTACCTAGAATAATTTTAAAGAACCAAAAGGTTCATAGAATCCTTCCTTCTTTAATCCCTGTGCGACGCAGAAAGATAAGATAACAAATTTCCTACCTAAACTAACCTTATTTTTCCTTTAGAATGCCGTTTCTTCCCGATTCAGCTGTCGCACGACATGATATGAGGAGTATTTTTTGAACACAATTTTGTTTACTATTGTTTTTAAATTCTCCTTGGAAAAGATAAAAAAAAATTTAATTAAATTTATTAATTAAATTTTTTTTTTTATTTTTATTTTTATTTAATTGTAGGTTACATTGAATGAATATCGCATCGAAATTTGTTTATTTACCTGTAAACATGTAACTTCTTGGCTTACCTTTTTTTCCTTTCCTTTCTCTTTTTCAACGGGATTTGCTAAGCCGATTTTTTTTTTTTTTTTTTTTTTTGAAATAATAATCCTTTCGATAAATTTAAATTGCCCTCGGGAATAGCCATGGAATTCCGTGAAAACAAACCAGTATAATCGGTATGACAAATAAATGTAATCACACAAAAAAGAAATTGCGGAGAAACTTCAGAGAAATCCTCTACCAAACATTAATCCGTAATTTTAATTCCAATAAAAAAAATTCGATATAAAAGGGCAGGGGGGTATCATTTCCATTCTTTCCATGCCGTATATCACTGCACCACCCAAACATTTAATTTATGATAACATTTTGTAACATGAATAGAAGACGGCGTTTTTCCAAAAAAAATAATAGGGATAATTTTTTTTTTTAAATTTTTTTTTTTCATGAAACAAAGGAGGGGCGCTTACCGCAGAAAACAAGTTCAACAAACTACCTAAAAGCGGGGCGAAATGAAACAAAGGGTAATACGCCTGTATTCACGGTCTAATTTTTTAATTTAAATTCTTGGTTGAATACTGGAATAACGATCGTTGCATACCACAGAAAAAAAATTCATGTAACCATTCTTGTTAAAAATAAACCAAATTTTTATTATTATTCTTTTTAACTAATTGAGATAAACTTCATGAATGATAAGGAAAAAAAAAAAAAAAAAAAAAAAAAAAAAAAAAAACCTTAATCGATGTGCAAAAGTAAACAAGGGTGCGCCAATTTTAAGCTTTTGAAAATAAATAAAGAATTCATCCTCGAAAAAAAAAAAAAAAAAAAAATTTTTTTCTATATCTTTTACCTTCCTTTTTTTTTTCTTGTTCAACATTCAACGTTAAACACTGGAATGCAAATGGAAATGGAAAGTTACACCACAGAAAAACACCTCATGTATCGATTGACTTGACTTTTGTGAATTCTTTAATAACAAATCCACCTACCAAAAACGAAATTTGGAAATACAACGCGTTTGTTACATTTTTCAACAATGTGACAGAAAAAATAAAGTTTTTTTTTAAAAAAAAAAAAAAAGCAATAAGCCGAAAGATATAGTGCGCCTTTCTTTCTGAAGGAAAAAAAAAAAATTTTTTTTCTTCTCGACCTTCCATTTTAGAATTTATCTGAACACAAAGAAAAAAAAAGAAAATCACGTTGGGGTAAAAAAAAACCAAAAATTATTCCACGTCTGAAAATAGAAATATTAAATGATTGAGGCCGGTGCGTTTCACTTAATATTGTGCGTCTATTTGAACACTGCATGAAACAAACAAGCACGTTCGTCATTAGCAAATTTTTGAATAATACATGATGTGTCAACACTTTGTCCGTCGCGCGCAATTTTTTTTTTAAAAATTGACGTGATGTTCATTCAGAAAAAAGTATAAAAAAAAAAATTGAAAATGTTTCATCCTCCTTCAAATGACGATTTGATGTGCACGATATCCATTCAATGGCTGCGGATTTACCTTCATGAATTTTTAATTTTTAAAAAACCTGTTTAAAAAAAAAGGTCGGTGCTACCCATTAATAATACACTTAATTTCTCCAAATCTGGCTAGTTATTCTCAACATTTTTTTTTCTTTTATTGAAAAAAATGACGAGACAAAGAATGATTGTGCACGTAACATAAGAACACAATATACCAAAGTAGAATGCATGGAATGTAAAAAAAAAAAAATAAAATAAAATAATAACAAGTTATTGCCACGCACGGAAATTCCTGCATGAAATGAAAAAAAAAATAAATTTGATATTTTTGTATTCTTATTTGCAAAACTCACAAGGGTTTGGGTATCGGATGTTCCAATTCAGCTGTCATATAAAGTTACAAGGATTAACCATGATTCTAAGGTGAAAGGTACTTGTGTAATGTGTCATTTACAAAAAGTTATTTATACATCGGGATGGGATAATCCGTCCCCTCATAATATCACCGTGGATGTCACATATCCCCCAAACGTGGTAATCGTATTAATGTGATACCGCAGGCCTAGGTTGGGGCTAACTAAACTCAGGGCAAAAGGCGTATTCTTTTTCTCGTTAAATGCTCAATGTCGCCAAATGCCGAAATGCAGTGAACTATAAAATTTATTTTCATTCACGTGTAGGTGGTTGGATGAGTTCATAAAAAGCAAAAATCCTCTGGTGTTTCCTCGTTATCTTAAAGTTGATGCATCCTGACGTACTATGCCAAATTCATCTGCAACAAAATCTTATCAAGGAGTACAAAAATTGATTCATGCAACATGATAAGATAACGAGGGAATTACGGTATTATGTAAATATCAAAATAATGGTTGGGATTTGTTTGTTTTTTTTTTTCATTCATTAATTGTACCAATCTTTTTCGATGAATATGGAAAAATTTTGTTATCTTTGCGTGATTTTTACTCGGGCTTTGTTAGATTTCATGAAAATCATTAACAATTATGATTTAAAGTAATCATGAACATTCTTTTTAGACTATTTTTTTTTTTTTTATTATCATTATGTCACATATTTAATAGATAGAACCAACCAACGCCCAAATATTGAATATACATGCTATGCTTGTTTATCAAAACAAAAAAAAAAAAAAAATACACGCATGTTCAATTGGCATTACAAACGTCAAATATATCATATCAGATCAATCGTTATCTTATCTTTCGGAGCAAATTGATACCCTAATTTTCCAATTAAAGTAATTAAAGTTTATTGAGAATCATTGAAACAGATGTCGAAATCGTTTATATAAATAAATTATTTATTTACGTTAATGCACGTACAAATGTACCTTTGTTTAAGCACACCAGAAAATCTGTACAAACAGATAACGATGTTTACAACCCTCACGTTATTTATTTATTGGTTTAAAAAAAAAAAATTTTTTTTTTTTGCTTTTAAAACTTTAAATGACCCCTTATTAATTTATAAGCACGACATTAAGACTATGAATCTTACGGCATATAGCGAATATACAATTAAATCACGACAGAAATTAGTTTAAGGTTATTTAAATGAACGAATGATATCAGGATATCATGCGCATGCTTGGCCCTTCTTGAATTCGATCATTAGTTTCGAAGATGTAAATCTTGAAGGATAATAAAAAAATAATTACAGAAATAACCATACATAACCGTCTTTGAGTAAAAAAAATTTGTTGATGTGTAATTATGTTACCGCAACACACCGCGAATTTTTATTATTTTTAAAATTATTATTATTATTTTTTTTTTTTTTTTTGAGTTTGGTGAATCGTGCCTATAAATTTACGCCGAAATGTATAGAATCTTGGAAGTTACGTTCTCTGCACTTTCGGGAATATCAACTTTTCATTCATTACTTTTACTAATTGATGATATTTATTAGATCCTTTGTGAAAAAAAAAAATTTTATCCGATTGGAAATGGATTTATATAAGACAACCAATTAAATTGATCAGGATTACACGTTACGATAACTTTTAGAGTAAGTGATTTTGAGAAAAGGTTAGAAAGTAAGATGTTAATCTATCAACAGGAAAAAAAAAAAAAAAAAAAAAAAAAAGATCATATTGATCGCAAAAAAAAAAAAAGATTTTCATGACCAGAAATTGTATGAAATTTCATGTAAATTCCGTGGATTCAAGCAACTTGCACGATTAACGAATACTGAACACATGCGCTACATGTGATTATACGTTACGTCCAATAAATAATAATAATACATAATAAATTTATTTATTTGTGGAGTACAATAAGAGAGAATAAATACATAAATTAATTGATGACTAATCACATGATTTTTTCAGAGGAATTCATAAAATTCGTAAACTTTGGCCAAGTTCATAATTTCACGGTCAAGGGATTAACGCGGGATTCATACCGAATTTTTATGATAATTTCTTTGCCAGTAAAGCGATCACTATTGAAACCAATATAACGATCATGGCATCAATAACGTAAGCAGATATCGGAGGTGTTGGAGTGGTTTCGTTTTGTTGTTGTTGTTGTTGTTGCAGTAGTTGTTGTGATGGTTGTTGATGTGGTTGATGTGATGATGGTTGATCTGGTTGTTGATGTGGTTGATGTGGTTGATCATTAGATGAAGGGGTATCTTCCGAGTTAATTATTTCTGGCTGCGAATGTGATGAATTACCATTTTTGCTGGAGTTGTCTTGAGTTGGCTTCTTTTGTTCTTCATATACAAAGGAAAATTGAGGTACATCTGAATCGTTATTCACTACACTTTTATTATTGTCATCTGGCAGAGTCTCGATATTGGTCAAGTCACATGTGATACATTTCCAATTCCTGGACCTCTGCGCTAAAATCTTTCTCTCCGATTCAGAATAATCGATCCCACCAATCGCTCCATTAGATTTCGTCGTCATAAATCCAAGTAATCCTAATAGGACGGTGCGGATTCCCCAAGCCGGTAGCCAATATTCCGGATGATATCCGGTAATACTCAAACAAATTTTTTTGTTAAGTTCAAATCGTCCATTTGGAGTCATCAGCATAAGATTTGGTGGTTTGAATGGATATTCCGATGGTAAGAGAATACGTCCATGATATCTTCCGCCTTCAAATTCAGTACCATCGGGTCCACGGATAACAAAATGCCATTCAAAAAGGTTATCCTAATTTGTTTTTTTTTAAAACAAAAAATTAATAGACATTTCTATGTTGGCCGAATAAGAATTCTCATCGCAACTTACCTCAAGGGGTTGAGCATTATAATCGCTACATTTATCTTGTTGTAATTCGCGAGCTTCTTGCAAAAGCCTCTTAACGGCTATAAATAAGTTGGAGAAATTAGAATGTGTAAGTCATGATTCAAGAAGTGTTTTAAAATAATAAAACTTAAACCCTGTAATTTTAGGTCAAGAACAAAATTTAAAATATAAATCTATATTTACCGGGACTTCTTAAATTGTAAGAGACTGTATTCGCCATTTTCGGTGTAAATACTTTGTTTTATAGAGGAAGAAGGAAAAAAAAAATGAATCAAAATTGAGAAAGTCAAGACCCTTTGAAATCTAAAATCACTAATTAAAAATAAAGAGAATACTTGACCTATTATGATTGGTGGAATGTACTTAAGCCCCGTTTCCGAGAATGTAAATCATATGATCAACATGTTTGGTTAAAAGCATCGAGTCGACGACAATTATTATTAATTATTATGTAATTTGTTTTAATTTATTTGTTAATTGCAGGGTAAAGCAGGTATACATTTGTTGGAGGTTTTTTTAACAATTTCCGAATAAGTAAACAAATCATTATGAAGATCAGATTTCCCCTCCCTTCCTTTTTTTCTAAAAAAATTATGACGACTACAAACGAGGCAACTTTTGATTGGAAAATCTCTGAATTTCTAAGTAAAAAAGGTAAAAGAGCTCCATATATTATCATCATACTAAATCAACCAATTTTACGTCGAAATATCTTTAAAACATTGTGGGAAAACGGTACGTTAATACGATAGAACATTCCTTTAAGATTCATTTTAAAGTAAAAAAAAAAAATTTATCATTGTTCATTATAAATAAAATAGCCGATATAAAAATTTGTGCGGATGGTGGTGCGAATCATGTGTACGATGCGTTTAAAGATGAATATATTCCTAATTATATTAGAGGTGATTTGGATTCGTTGAGGGATGACGTTCGAAGCTATTATCATTCTAAAGGTACAGAAATCCAATGTGAACCTGAACAAGAATCTACAGACTTCATGAAATGCATTAATCTTGTTCGTATCAAGGAAGAGGAAAATTTCTCAAAGTACGATGTGTTGGCAATTGGATCTTCTGGAGGCAGATTGGATCAGATAATGTCAAACATTCATTATCTATATAAACTTAGAGATGAAAGGAAAATTTTTCTCGTATCCGATAAAAATATGAGTTTTTTGCTTAAAAAGGTAAGAAATATTAAAAAGTTGGGGGGGTTTTTTTTTTGGTTGATAAGAGGATTTTCATAAAGATTTCATTATCATTAGGGGAAACATAATATTTTATGTGATAGAAAGATAGAAGGACCAACTTGCGGAATTTTGCCAATTGGTGTTCAAAGAGCTACTTTGACGACAACTGGGTTGAAATGGAACATGAGTGCGTATCATTTATAAATAAAATATTTTATTAATTTTATAGTATGATCTATTTTCGTAATAACCTATATTACTCTTTTTTCTTTTTCTTTAGCGAATTTTACATCAGCATTCGGGGATATGATTAGCACTTCAAATGTTTTGATAAATGACATTATAACAATTGAAACTGATGCTCCGGTTATTTGGACCGTAGAATTACAAATTTAATTTCAAATCACTGTTGAGGATTAATTAGTTTCTAAATCAAATAAAAAAAAAAATTTTTAAATTCGAAATTTTCCCTCTTTCCATTTATTTTCAACATATGAAATATATAAATAGTTAAAAACAAAAAAAAAATACATACCAACTCTCCCTGTTTACCACCATCCCATTTAGCGAATTTGATTCCTTGCTCGTCCCGTCTTTGTGCTATCAACCGCTGTTCGTCTTTAAGTGCATTTCGAACCGCACGAGCACAGATCTGGGTATATTTGAGGTAACTATGACGAGAAAATAAGTCAGCCTATTTTAAGGATTCGTTTTAGAAAATTTCTCACATACCTAATACCAGCGGCTTTCCAGGAAAAGGCCATTACGATTGTTTGCGCAAAATTTATTTTCTTATTTTATCGTTTTTTTTTTTTGGTAAAAAAAAAAAAAAAGGAGAGAAAATTTTGGTTATCAATTTATCAATCTTTCAATTCATCTGTCCTTTCTAATCGAGTCAATCGGTTGTGCTACATTATCTCATCACGTGAAAATCATGATGGGTTGCTGCGGAAGAACTTAATCATCAATTCAGACAACTTGTTATTGTGTTTATTTTAATCTTAATGAAGAATATCTTTTAAATCTAACAATGAATTTATATGAAATTCGGAACGATTGTATTACGTAATAGGAAGCAAGATGAATAATGGAACGAAAAAAAAAAAATTACATTGTGTGTTTAAACTTTATTGGCGTTATAATCTTGCATGTTGAGGAAAAAAAAAAATTTTTTTAAATCGATTGCGCCAAAGTCTAAAACCACATGGAACCTTGTTTTAAAACAATAGAGGGTAACAAATGCATTCTAATTAAGGTAAAATTGATGAATTACATAAATTACGTACACATACCAAATCTCTGAGTATTATAAAACCAGAATTCTTGGGAAAAAAAAAAAAAAAAAGATTAGCTCAAAAGTTTAAATTTCCGACTTGCCGATTTTTTTTTTCAAGATTTCCATTGTCCATTGCATAAACAGGACAAATTTTTGTAACGAATAAAATTTTTTTCCCATTTAGATTCAGCTCTTCAATTGTCTCCGATCCAACTGTGATTTAGTGATTTTAAAATGATGGTGATATCTAATTCTTATCAATTACCCGGCATCGCATCAAATCTTTTTTTTTTTTTTAAAAAGATTCCAATTTTTTTTCTTTTCAAAAATCGGGTTCTAAATATAAATATATATATATATATATAATAAAAACGCGAATCTTTTTTGAATATTCTTTTCCATTTAAGGATTCTTGAATTTAGCAAAGTAATTGAGCCTTTTTAAGGGTTGATTGAATTAGATTTTCCCATATGTGAGAATTCGAATCGTTCCTAATATATTTCCCCGATTTTTTTTTTTTTTTGATTATCGCGTCCAGTTCGATCAACTGATGATGCACAGAACTGCGCCAGACGCTTGACAATTATAGTAAATGATAATTTTGGGTAATAAAAATTTCTGATGTTTGAAATTACTATTTTTTTTTTTTTTTCTTTTTTAATTTGATCGATCGATTTAAAACAGGTTCATAAGCAAGAGTTCTACTACAAAATTATCTCGCGTATTTGGAAGATTCGCGTTGATGGTACCTAAAAAAGTGTGACAAATTAACGGATATTTTTTTACGGAAATAAATTAAAGTTCTGTCAATGTAATCGATATTTTACAATAAAATAAACCTGTCAAAAAATTTACACGCGTATCAACTTTAATATGATTGAATGAAACACAAAGTTTTTGACCGTGAGAACGTCGCGTTTTATTAATTGTTTGAATAATATAGAATCAAATGACATTGAATAAGAAATTATTTTCCTTTGATTAAAACGATGATATTTAATGAATTTTAACCCAGATATCCCCTAGAAAATGACCATTACAGAAGTCTTCTTTTTTAAAACATACAACATAAAAAGGTAACATTGTATGTGTTTGAAAAAAAAACTCTAAAACCACATGAAATAAACACCTAATAAAAAACCTAAAAGGAAAAAAAAAAAAGTTTCAAGTAATAAACGCCGAACAACACGAGGAAAATGTACAATTAAATTTTTTTTTTGAATTTTTTTTTTTTTTTGATGTAAAAAAGTTACTTTTGGAAGTTTTTTTTTTTTTTTTTTTCGTGCGTGGCGTTCCTTATAATATAATAAAATTCTTAAGAAATCTCCTTTATACAGGAATGGGAGATTAGGAAGCGAATTGATGAAAAAAATTTTTTTTTTTTAAAATAAAACGGGATTAAAGAAAAAGGAGAAAACTTTACAAGTTATGAAAGGATGCTATACAAAAAAATTACAAAAAAAAAATATAAAAAAAAAATAAAATGTTTTTTTGTTTTGTTTTGTTTTTTTTTAAAAAAAAAAAAAAAAAGAGAGGGATAAAACGCTATAATATCTTTACAATAAAAAGTATTTTGTGACAATACAAGCGGAAAAGAAAGAGAAGATAAAAAAAAATAACTATATTACACGAAAATACTCACTACCACTTATAAGTCTTTATTTTATTTTATTTAATTTTTTTTTTTTTTTTAAAAAAAAAAAAAAAAGTTAATCCCTTTTTTATATTTATATTATTATTCCGTAGTTTTATATATATTATTACCTAAGCCCACCCAAAGTTTTTTTTTTTATAATTATTTTTTTTTTTTTTTTAATTGATAGGATTTTAATTTTTTATTTTCTTCAATTACTTAATAATGAAGTGGATTTTCAATTCCCTCCCCATGTATCCACAGGCCTTACTAGATAAGGATCGTACACGAATGAACTAGAGGGCATTGAAACTGTGGGATACGCTTCAGACTTTATCCACGAGGAATAATACGATGAATAATTTGAATTATAAAGACCCGTACCACCATTGCCGTGACTGACGATTGTAGCGTTGTTACTGGTATTAGGAGAACTAAGAGGAGGCGTTACAGGCGCGTTATTGTTACTTGTACTTGCGGTACTGGTAGGCGAAGCAATAGCGGGAAGTGTGGGAGATGGAGAAGTCGCTAGATGTTCATGCTGATTTGATTGAGAGTGTGCGGAGTTGGTTGTAGGTGAGTGGGCAGAAGAATTGTATAATTCGGGGAGGGAAGGTGATAAATCATGATATGGAGTTGTATATAAAGGCACGTGGCTAAGCGTGTTGATAGGATGGGTGGCAGAATCATTACCGGTGGCAGTGGCAGTAGCATAAAACACTTCGCTACCTGTTTCTGCGTGAGGGTTATTATTCGACTGCGCTTGATGATTGATTGAAGTCAAATTTCCCGTGGTGGATTGACTTCCATTTCCATGCGAATGATTTGAATTTGACGATGAATACGAAGAAAATTGATAGTCAGACCAGCTACCATTAGGTTGGGAATTCCCGCTATTTGGAGGCGAATGATAATAGTTATTATATTCGTTTTGATTAGAACCTATACTTGGTATTAAGGGTTGCGAGGAAGCTAACAATCTTGGTGGAACCGAAGTATTAACGTGAGGTGTAAGGGGAGGAAATTCATAAGAAGGTTGACGATTCACAAAAGGTCTCAGAGATGGCATCGGTAATGTATGGGATCCATCAGGGCCATTTGCGACAGGATGACCGTAAGGTGTATAATGAGAAGTGGAAGGATGCATAGTTGAAGGATAACCGGATGAGGTAGCTGGACCAGTCGAATAGGTTGAAGAACGATACAAGTCAACACCGGATTGATTCGAATGATCCATTTCAACCTTTATGCGAGAGGTATGAGGATAGTCCATATTTGTTAATCGTGATGGGCTTACAGTACCGGGTTTAGGTAGGATAGCATGTGGAGAGGATACCGAGGATTGTTTTGAACCATAAGTCATCCCTTCCAATTCTGCAATGAAGATGGAATGATCAGGGGAAGGAAAGTTCATCGTCAGTGATGAACCTACGTGCATATTTATGGGAGCTGTCACAGTTGAAACAACCGTACTTGGTGAGCTTTGTTCACCTTGTTCGTAAGTCGACTCTATCACGGGCGGTATCCTAAAGTTTTGCTTTAATAAGAATTCGGGAGAGATCTCTAGAATGGCCAAGTTTGGTATGGAGGAAGGAGTCTTGAGTTTACAGGCCAGGACATCTTCTTTTGTATAATAACTGATCATATGTTGGCTGACGCCATTAACCATAATTGACATTGTTTTTTTGATCAAGCCACCCTTCTTGAATCGATAAGAGTTTGTCAAACTTCCAACCAAAGCGCGTTCTTTATTCTTTTCTGTCTGAGATTCCATATCGGTACTATTGCTTCTTTGACGTTCTACCGGACTCGAGTCTTTTTTACCTGTCGGGGCTCTTTTATCAAGTTCACGATAGATAAGAAAATTTCCGAGGATTCGTGAAGGACTCCATACTAAACCGTCAGTCCAACGTTTTATTCCGGATTCGCGTTCATCAAAAACGAATACACTTCCTGAAGTTACGATTTTTCGTTCTTTTTCCTGAAGACGTCGGCATATCCTTGGAAGTACACCTCGTCGACAAGCTTCGAATATGAGTAAAGTATCTTGTGTCGTTTCAATATAACCTCGAAAAGTCGCTTCGATGCTCATAGCTATCTATTTTTTAATTTTATATTTATATATTTATATATATATATATTTTGATGCTAAATTTTCAAAAGGAAATCAAAATTTTGTTTAATTAAGGAAATAATTTCGAGAAATTTTATCGTTATTCATTAACCAAACTTACATCAAGGACGGAAGAAAAGGAAAAAAACTTTTGTCCTGACGCGACTTGAAGTTAAGTATAATTTTATACGTACGAAATAAGTTTAATTCTTATATATATATATACGCTGTTATATATATATCTTTCTAAAAAGATTTTTTTTTTTTTTTTGGATTTTTATCAAGAAAGAAAAATTATCGGTTTTTTGAGGTTGTGTTGTTCCGACCGTCAACGAGGGGATGTTTGTTTTATATGCGTACAGAACGGGCCCTGTGTGACAACTTTTTTTAGATATTTTAATTATATTTACAGTACCTGGTATATTATTTATCAGTTATACAACAACGCATATATATATATACACACATACATACATATATTTTTATATATATGTGATGATTATGATATATATTGATAAATTTAACCAGTTTTTTCTTTTTTTTTTTTTTTTTTTTTTTTTTTTTTTTTTTAGAGTGGGATTTTATATTTATCAACTATGGCAAATAGCAGATTGTGTTCAAAAGAAAAAGTGGGGGTAAAGTAGGTTTAGTTGCAGGGGCGAAAAGGGGGGATGATGAGAGGTAAAATTTGGAAAAAAAAAAAAAAACGAAAAAAAATTGATTTTTAGAATCAAATAATTAT